AATGAGATGGCGAAATAGAAAAAAAGAGGGTTAAATATGTCTAAAAATGTATGATGGATGGCCACATTCTAGATATAATTATGATGTGTTTCTACATTGCCTATTATTTATTTTTGTGATAATTTTTGCTATATTAATATAAAATTATAGCAACTAATGTGGATTTACCCATTTTAGAGAAAACCGAGAAATAAAGGCTTTGTTAAATAATTTGAATCACAGGTTACTCCTATTTTATGTGCCAGTAAAACCTATGGTGAAGGAGTCAGCACATTTTATTATTTTTTTTATTTTTATTTTTTTGAGACGGAGTCTCGCGCTGTCGCCCAGGCTGGAGTGCAGTGGCCGGATCTCAGCTCACTGCAAGCTCTGCTCCCGGGTTTATGCCATTCTCCTGCCTCAGCCTCCCAAGTAGCTGGGACTACAGGCACCCGCCACCTCGCCCGGCTAGTTTTTTGTATTTTTTAGTAGAGACGGGGTTTCACCGGGTTAGCCAGGATGGTCTCGATCTCCTGACCTCGTGATTCGTCCGTCTCGGCCTCCCAAAGTGCTGGGATTACAGGCTTGAGCCACCGCACCCGGCCTGTCAGCACATTTTAAATTTAAGAGAAAAAATTTTTCGAAGAAAATTATTCTACACATAATATATGGATTCTTAAAAGAAAACAGCTCCACAAAAGGCAAAAGATCTAACAATCTGTTGGCTTCAAATCCCATATCTCTCCATCCTTTACTCACTAGATGTTCAGCAGCATCCAATCACCAGGCCTGATCCCATTATTCAGATAGCTGCAGCTTAGTTAAAGGTGAAAGTGAGGGGACAATACAAGAAGCATGAGAGTGAGATCTCACCGGCTCAGCATGTAGTCTATCCTGCAATTGTCCTACTCTGATCTTGGGATTTCAGTAGCCCAGCAAATGGTCCTCCACTATCTTGCCATTCTCTCTGGGGCTTTTTTTTTTTTTAACCTCAAAACCAGAACAACGTGTAACTTGGTTTCATTCCTGGTCAAATCACTAACCTAATTTACTACCCTTCGATCCCAATATTCCCATTATAAGAAAACTATTATGTGTTATTTAAATGTCTAGTATAGCTCATCCCCTCCTACTTGGAAAGTCACCCAATTCTTAGGATCAATATGGACAATATCCAAATTAGTATCCATACCCTGCATAAGCACTTAGACGTCTTCTTTGAATTCTATATCTAAAGTAGTCTCTCTTTCACCCAAGTCAAGTGCCTCTCCCCCGGATATGTTCTATCCAGTGGCCTATCTTTCTGTCTACATAGAACTTAACACTATCTGAAATGATTTTATATATAGGTTTTCAATGCCTCTCCCAATATAATTTAGATGAGCAAATGACCTGTGCTTATTAAGGCTTTCACTCTAGCTTCCAAGCCCCCATTCCTATCATAAACAACCCCAAAGCTTGTTGACATGTACAAAATATATCTTTTATTGTATCCCGTATCTGGTCATTTGGCTTGCATTGAGTATTAGCCATCAAGGAATAAATTAATTTCAAGAACATTACTTCAGAGTGTCAAGGAAAGAACACATGGAACACATATGCAAACATATGCATGCCATTCTTTCCTATGTATTTAATAGGTATTAGTATCTATTGTTTTGGATTTATAGTATATGTGATGTACATATAAAATATGAAGACATTCTCATAAGCATTCTATTGACTCTAGACATAATAAGTGGAGGTGAATAATCATCAGGAGAAAAACCTTAAAGTAATTCACAGAAGTGTATTTTATATACTTGTCAAGATCAGTCTTCTTTATACATTTTCCACAATTGTTTCCATAAAGAAATGTCCTTAGTTTTTAAGAAATGATCCCTCTTCTTAAATGCCAACTTTATTGAAATCAAAACAATTTCATTAAACCATAAACAAACTCAGTGTTCTCTTAGGTTTTTAACTATTTCTTTCTTTGTGGAAAAAAAAAAAAAGTATTGATACACTCAAAGAAACAAAATATGAGAAAACAGAGTTGCGGTTGTAGGGGTGAATTATTTAATTTAAATGCAGTCAACCTTTAGAAATATAGTTAACAATGGACAAGAGATACTCAGTTTTTCAGTACATGCTTATCTTGTGCTCAAGACGCTTTTAGCCAATTAGCTTGCTCAATTGACTAAGTACCTCCTACCTTACTTATTTGGATAAGTAAGGAAGAGGAGGAACTCAATAAGCAGAGGAACTTCAACAAGATATAATTATTATATAGCAGCACACAAACAAAGCGGACATAAATCCTTGATGGAAAATAACTTAAAGCAAGATGTTATCTAACAAATTGGTCAGTGTGGCTGCTTTCCTAATTTAAAAAGCAAGGCCATTGAAATTCCTAAATAATTTGAATACTTTGGTTAAGAGTAGAGAATCAAATACCAAAGATTTCGTTAAAAAAATTAGATGAGGCCGGGCACGGTGGCTCAAGCCTGTAATCCCAGCACTTTGGGAGGCCGAGACAGGTGGATCACGAGGTCAGGAGATCCAGACCATTCTGGCTAACAAGGTGAAACCCCGTCTCTACTAAAAAATACAAAAAAACTAGCCGGGCGAGGTGGCGGGCGCCTGTAGTCCCAGCTACTCTGGAGGCTGAGGCAGGAGAATGGCATAAACCCGGGAGGCGGAGCTTGCAGTGAGCTGAGATCCGGCCACTGCACTCCAGCCTGGGTGACAGAGCCAGACTCCGTCTCAAAAATAATAATAATAATAATTAGATGAAAAAGCCCTCTACCTTACTGAATTTCTTTTTCCTAGAATTTGTTCTTGTTTTACTTCTGATTAAATAAATATGCACCCCCTTAAACATGATACAAATATCTAAGAAGCTATTATTCTTTCATTAGTTGTTAGGAAATGAATAGAAGTGACTCATACAATAGGTGACATCGAAGGATTTGTGGGATTAAAAAATCTCAAAAAAAATGACAAAAATATACAGTAAAACATACAAGTGTTTATCTGTAATATCCTTGAGAGAGTAGTTTTTAAAAAGTCTTCAAGAAATGGTGTAGTTGAAGATCTTAAGTGCTAAGGAACCTAACAGTTTGGGAACTGTGTCTTCTAGGATCAACAACACAGTTCCATGATGACTTGAAAAAACATTCATCAAGCATTTCTTGCCATTTGATAAGACAGAATTATTTGGTGTTGTTTCTTAGTATATTTTAAAAATAAATATAAAAAAAGGAAATTGAAGTTTTTTATACTGGAAGAACATTATTATGAATAAATTATTGCAGCTGCTAATCTGTTAATTCTGTGATTCAAAAATGGAAATACAAGTGATGATAGTGTTGTTACTGAAATTTACTTGGCTTTCTAAACAAACAGCATAGTTAGGTCTTTGAACAAGATAGATTCTCTTAATTGCACTAGAAGACAGGTATTTGGCTCAGGTATGCCATTTCTTGAAGGCTGGCCACCACATTTGCCTGACAATTGCCACCCTAATTGCTTCTGCTTCTTCAGATTCCCTCTTTTTCCAGCAGGCAAACAACAAAGCTTTATTTGTGCTTGGAAATACATCAAACCACTCTAATGAAACTTCACTTTTCAGAAGTACTGTCAAAAATGTAAAAAGTGAGTTTCTTCTCTTAAAAATGAAAGATGGATAGATGTAAGCTCAAGTAGTAAGAGTGAAGAGTGCCTAGCCTTTCTTTTGCTCTTCAGCTCCATTTCCAAAAACATGTTCTTTTTATATCTGATACAATCTGAAAACTCTCTAGAGAAAGAGAGAGAGAAAAAAATAATAGCTTCATTTTTGATACTATAAAATTTTCTTGAGTTTTTACATTTCTGCTTGTTTCTCAATACCTGGAAAAATTTAAGTCTTTAATATTTAATTTATAGCACATTTTTAGCTATATTTGTAACAAAGAATGTTCAAAAAATGAATTACATATCAACTATAGTCTCAGTAAGTTATATTTTAAAATAAAATATTTTAGCAAAAAATATAAATATAAAACATAATAAAAATGCCTGTTCCTAAAATACTTAGAAATTCCAACCACTAAAACCCAGTATAGAGTATGTATACTGGGTTTTAGTATTTCAATTTGCTCCCCAAACTTTAGAAAATATATGTTAATATGTAAAAATGTTTATACTATAATACTATATGTGGTCTCTGTATATGAAATTGAATATGTGCATGTATTAGTCTATAAAACTTAGTTTAAAATAACATGTAAAAATACTACTGTCTTTCCGAAATAATTCAGAACCATGAAAGGAAAAAAAAAGACCAGTCTATATAGTTCATATGAACCACATTTTTACCTTAAGTACCTCTTTGTAGCTAATTTCCTAATGATATTTTTGCAGTCACACTTAATTCAAATATAAAGTAGTTTCCACTCATTAGTTAAGTAGTGGACTGGTCTCAGAATGCACACTTTTAATTCATCCTTGGACAAAGTTACAAATTTTTACATGTGACAGATATGTAGAGTTGCTTAAACAAGTCAAAGCTTGATTGAAAGTTAAATTCTCACATGTCACTGGCATGTTCACAAAAATCAATATGGAAGAGTCAGGGAATGTTCTTGAATAAGACAGAAATGGGCAAGAATCCTGGAAATGCCATAAAGAACACAAAGACAAACTATAGGTGGCCAGTCTCCAGCCCAGGTATAGAAAATTAGACAAACAGAGTTACAGGAACGTTGGTTAGCAACAAAATGCAGTCACTATGTTAGAATGAGTGCTGGGCATGGAATGTGTGATCAGTAGATCTGGTTGAGAGGCAAAACTATCACCACTGAACCCTGTATCCTTGGGCAGCAAGTTAATTCCTATAAATTTGGGGAAAATAACACCTACCTTATAGAACAATTTTAAAAACAGAACAATGTTCATAAAAATTTGTAAAATATGTATTGATGTAAGCAATGTACCTATACTTTGCAAAATACTACACAAATTCTTATATTTATTGATACAAATAAGACGGAATTTCTTACCAAGGATGAATTCCAACTGTGGTTCATTTGGAGTCTTCTGGATACCTATAAATAATAGACGCAAATTCAGCTTTAAAAAAAATCAAATTATCAAGAATATGTCAATATATATTACTATGCTTCATCGTGACCAGAATGAATAAACACAATATTTGGCAGAATGAATAAACTTGGTTTATCAGGCCTATAAATAATCAGTTCTCAGGGCAGGGCATAATATTTGTTGCAGAACTAGATGTGACTTAAGATTTGATTGGTCATTTTATCTCTATGGTTATAAAGAAACCAAGAAATGTTGTTTTTGTAAGCCATGGCAAACAGAAAACATATTTTACAACTGTGTTTCTTTTGGATGCAATGTAGACAGAAGTGGATCCTTCATAAAGAACCCCCTTACCAAAATACTCTCTTAAATGGATTTTTTCCAAGCCACTCTGACCTGCTGTAAATAGTAAATCAATAACAAAAAAGGTAACTTCAGCTAGGTTATGATGGACATTATAGTGCTGGTTGTTCTACTAATTTAGTAATAGCTCAAACCAACATTTTATAAAATGTTTCCCTTCTTTCGGTCAGCAATGTTTAAAAAATATAACAAGATGGCTAAATAATTTAGGATGAACTAGGAGGGAAAGTGAGTCTGGGGACAAAGGTATGGAAATGGAATCATCTAATGGCTAGAAGGTAGAGTGATCAGATTATGGGAAGTGATATGGGTAGATGCCTGAAGACCACACACAGTGTAGAAGCTTCCTAAACAAGAGTGGATGACTGGATGTATGAATGGGATGCCATTTGTTACAACTCAAGGGTGGCCAAATAAGTAAAACTAACATGTATGGAAAAGTAAACTATTTGGCAATAAATGAAAGAATATTATACAAATCCTTTCCTTGCTTATTTTTGCTGGTGCATTCATCAGATACTATTTAAATTTACTGGCATTTGGTCACTAATACATTTTAAGAATTACCCTTTTGTATAAAAATTAACTGCTTTTTATTCACAGAGTTATTTATTTATTTACTTACTTATTTTTGCATGGTAACTGTATATTTTTTCCTTCTGCTGACATTTAGCAATTGCTTTGGTTAACAATTTTTAGATTTTTCAAGAGAGGTTAAAGTGACAATCATTAGGTAGGCTTTTGTGAACTTGAAATGTCTGGGTTTTTTTAAAAGGTCATTAACAATTAACTCTGCTTTAAACATTGACAACCAAATTTCTCAAAAATGCCTCCAACCAACACAATTTTCTAAAGATTAGCTTTATAATGTAAATTAAAAGAGAAGGTTAGGCATATATTGGCCAGTGTTAAATAATTGGACTATAGGAATCTTCTGAAAAGAAAAGAAAAAGGCATAATTCATGCTGAACAATAAAACCCAAACCCTAGAATTTTAAATATAAAAGCAAACATACAATTCTTCCAATGATTTTAATTACTTGAGTAATAAAAAATGAATTTTAATGTTCACATGCAAACTTGACCAAATCTCCACTGGCTCTATATTTGTGGCTTAGTGCTCTTTGGTATGGCAGTGACAGTCTAAATTTCCAGTGTAACCATTTTTTCTTAATGCTTTCAACTTAACTTCCTTTTGGGTTTAAAGAGAGAATTTCTACAGTATAAAAAATATTCCCATATAAGATTATATAAATACCAATAGAAGTTATTCTTAGAAAGTATTAGTGTCTAGAAGGTATACTTAAAAAGTATTAGGCTCTTAATATATATTCAAGAGCTTTGGTCTTGTTACTTGATATTTAACCGTTTCATGGATCATCATCTATCTTACCCAAGATAAAAGATGAGAGGCATATCATACACTCACACCACCAAGGTAAATAGTGCAAAGGAAAAAATATTTAGGTAATTTCATGCCATTTGTTAGAACCGAAGTTCCTATGAATCTATGAATACATATATATACATGTATGTTTCGTCGACCCAATTTGCATCTTTAGATGCAAAAACAGGGAGGGATACACACATACTTACTTGTGAACTGACAGTCCCCGGGATCACTGGCCTGGGCTGCAGGAAGAAAGTGCTGCCCTTCTTCTGACGCCCCTTCCTCTTTAATTTCCATGATCAACCTTCACAGTTTTAAAATTTTCCAAATGTTCTTGTCTAAATGTCACTTCCAGTAATTTCTGCTTTAATGTAGATGTATCTTCACACTAAAGATCTGATATCCCACTCTGAAATTCTGTACCTAGGAAACATCAAAAGTTAAAATTTCAGTCATATTGGAGTTCAGTACAAAGCTAAAAATTAAAGGTAGGTAGAGACTGCAACTACATTCAAATAAACTTTCTTCCTGCCTACTCCACTCATACTTTCAGGACCATTCCACACAATTAATGCATCATAAAGTCTAGGTTTAATAGGTATTCTCAAGGCAATTATTACATAGTCATATGAAAGATTTCTAAAACATGACAGGTATATTATTTCTCTTCTAGTTCATTCTGAAAGATAGCAGATAGCTGTAGAGGCTGCTAAATTAGTATAAAACCTAATTTAGCAGCAAGAGCATGTAGCATCTTGTCAAGACATTACCATGTTTTGGCAAGGTGAATATTACTATTGTTCTTTCCATTAGAATTGCCCTTTATGCTCATCTCTCCATCCACCCTTGTTAGAACATTATTACTGACCACATAAAAAATAATTTGGCATCACATTCTTCTTCCAAGATGAGCCAACAGGTTGTACAGGAGAGTTTCCAACCTCATTACTATCCATGGAGTCTTTTGCTGCTCTGCTTGATAAAGGTGTAATTGTTTAATGATCATGGTATATGCTGAAAAGAATGAATCATTCTTCTAAAAAGCTAAAGCTCAAGGGGAAATGAAAGCAATGGAAAAATTGATGAAAATTAGCATGGGGAAAGAAAGACTCTCCAAGAATTTAATACCCTGTCATACAGACAGCCTCAAATACTTACAAATTCATTTTGATATTTAGCATGATATATATGACCAAGAATAAATTTTTTACAAAATCAATGTTGTTTTAAATCAAGTTACCAGCTGAATTAAAATGTTTAAAACTATTTAAATATCTGTCCAATGCCATGTAATGAGGTAGCAGTAGTCAAGTTTGGTTTGGAATATTAATAAGGTCTCAAACTTCACAAAGCAACACCCTCACTCTTTGTGGTTCTTGGTAAAGTGGTTTCATTTATAATTCAGCTCTAGTTTGAAAAAATCTGGCAGAAATGAAATTCAAAAAGTTTCTTGAATTTTTAGAAAATAGTAGAATAAAATTATGGATAAATACATATTGGCTTCTAAGGATGCAATCAAGAATATTTCTGGGGATACAAGGCTATTGCACCAACAATTAGACCAAATCCATCAATTTAAAAATTATGTTTTGAATTAATAATAAAGCTTGAACAACGATCATGCTTCCTAATTTTTTTTATCATTACATTTAGAAGTCTTTTCTGATAAGAACACACACACACTTCATAGCACCACGTTCTTCCAAAGACCTGTGACAAATGCTAACAGTGAGATAATATCTGTAGCAGACTGCAAGGCATGTGTGACTTGGACGTGAGGACTATATAATTTGTTAACTTCACTATATTTCTTGACCAGACTCAATCCACAATCCTGATCAGTCATCTTCAAATGCGAAAAGGAGGCAGTATGATGAATCCTAGCAAAATAACACCTCAGCACACTATAGGTGAATAATTAATGAAATAAATGTCTAACTCTGTGTATTGGTATATGTGCACTTGTATAATTTGAGGATGGTAGGAAAAGACTGATGTAAGATGTCTACAAAGGCTCATGAATGTGGTCCCATTTTAAGCATACTACCCATGCAAAACTAATTTGCTAAGTGAAAATAAATTCAATTTTAGAGAGAATGAAGTTAAATACACAAAACAAGAATTATGAGATAACCTCTTGATATTCGTTTATTTTCACTGACGACAAACTTAAGATTTAGTACTTGTTATCCAAGCACACACTTCAGAAGAAATTAGTCACAAAGCTCATGAAAGTAACTGCATTTTTAGCTGTTAAATAGAGCATTTACCTATGGTTATAACATACAACAGTTTATTTTCTGTGCCTACTTGTAAAATTTTTTCCACAATAATAGATTGTGGTTGTTGTATACCACAAGCATGTTTAAAAGAGATAGCTTTTAAGCATAGTTCTACTCAGGCCAGTTCTCACATCTTTTATCTTACTCAGAAGAGGTACAAGCTGAATGGTCATCATACTCATAAAATACCCTTGGTTCTCTCACCCTCCCCCAGGGACAAAAGATGATTGGTAGTTATAGTTCAGTTATGTTTAATTGAACAATATTTCTTACTGACCACTACAATAACAGATATTTGTTAATATTTTGTACACCTCACAGTATAAACGGCAATCTGACAGACACACAAAATCATGTAAGAAAGTTATTATTAAGTAGGAAGACAAAACTAACAACACACATTGAAAAATTGGAGACATTACATAATGAGGGGGCAAATGTGATGCGCTCAACATTAGTACAGTGCTGTTCCCTCACTAGTGATAGGTAAATCAAGTAGCATCTTCGTATCAAGATAGTGTTCTGGTGGCAAATTGCAGGTACAGGAGATTGGTGTTAAGGAGAATGCCCTTAGTTGTTATGGTTCCTTTTTAATAGCATAATTCAGGGACAGTGTCATATACCAGAGTTCTCATCAAATTTGAGATTTTTAAAAAATGGAAATAGAGATTAAAAGAAATAAGAAAGATAAAGGGATTAAAATAAAAATTACAGAAGATGAAAGGAGCAATAAGAGGTGTCAGATTTCTTAGTGATTACATGTAAAAAGTTGTAATGAGGGCAATCACTTTGCAAATATTAAATAATGCAACTTATTTACCTCACAGTCATCTACAGAGACCAAGATATGTTATTTTTTAGTCCAGTATAGAAAATGGCAAAACAAGTTGTGCTAACAAGGTGTGCTAAACCCTCTACCTTTCCTTTAGTGAACTACAGAGATGTACCTGAATGGTCAAATTCCAAAATTTTTACATAATGAGCTGAAGACACTCTTGAAATCCATGAAGTTGGAATCAGAGGTAGACAAAGACAGATAAGGGAGACCAAGTCAGGGTTCAGGGAGTGGTGCTCCTCTCTAGGACTTTAAATCCCAGAAGGGAGGAGAACTTACTGGTGGATGGCAAGTGGATGTCCTGTCTCCATTGCAAATATAGGAGGAACCATCTTTCAGGTTGTCCCTGTGGAAACATTGAACTTTCTACAGGGAGTGGAAGAGAGCCCAAAAAGCAGATGGGCAGAGGGACACGGCCTCAGTTTAAACCCAGTGTTTCCCTCTGCTCCTCTCACTCATGGATGAACCTGAGAAAAGACTACTGGCTCTCAACGTGTGGATAAAAAGGAACCTAGCACATGTTTCTTATAAAAGGGATATGGTGACCCTGCAGCAGAGGTTATTCTAGGCCAAGAAGCAGATAGAGGATATGGCCAAAACTCAGTAGGTTTTCTCTGCCATCTAGAGACAAGATGAGGCCCAGTTAATCAGAAAGCATGAGAGAGGACAATCCATGTAGCAAGGGTATCCAATATTTTGGCTTTGCTGGGCCACATTGGAAGAAAAAGAATTGTCTTAGACCACACATAAAATGCACTACTAGACAGCTGATAAACTAGGGGAAAAAAACACCAAAAAAACTCATAATGTTTTAAGAAAGTTTACAAATTTGTGTTGGGCCACATTCAAAGCAATCCTGGGGCCACAGGTTGGACAAGCTTAGGCTACAGGTTACTCCAGCCAGATGAGGGAGCAGTGACTGGGCCAGGATTGCTGTGTCTCAATGGAGGATAGCAAGTATCCACCCAGTAACAGCATGAGTCCAACGAGTTCCATTTGTCCCCTGCCACATGGTCATGTGAGACCCTTTTTCTCACACAAGTGACACTATCTTAGAAAAAGAAGCAGGGAAAAGGGGAGTTAGCATAAAGATACTAAACACAAGTGTTTTCAATAGTAGTGAATAGAAAGTTAAAAACTTTTATTCATTTACTTTTGTTTTGTTTTGCTTTGTGCTCTCATTTAGTGAGTGCTTATTATGACCAAAATATGAAGGAAAAAAAGTCCTTTCAATAAGAATGAAACTTGCCATTCCTACCACAAATTTATTTTTTTTCTAGTTAAAATCACTTTTAATGAAATATTTAAAAAATCCCTACATAGTTATCCCTTTAAGATAAAAAAAAAAAAGTACAGGAATTTATTGGGGGGCAGGGGAGGAGGGGCCAAGATGGCCAACTAGAAGTAGTGGTGATCAGAGGCTTTCATCTAAAAGAAGCAAAAGAGCATACAAATCCTGCACCAGCCACCAGAGTATCCAGTTCTGTCATCGGGACTGATAGGCGGCTGGCATGACCCAGAGAGAAAAAGGAAGAGCAGTGTGGTGTGGCTGCCTACCTGAGAGCCACACGCAGGGGAGCCCCCACACCCAGACAAGGGAGGCAGGAAGTAAGTGTGCTACCCAGCCTGGGGAACCTTGATTTTTCCAAGGAACTGTGCAACCCATAGATCGGGAAGATCCCACTCATGAACCCATGCCACCAGGGCCTAGGGTCCCAACCACAGAGCCACGCAGATTCTCAACAGCCATTTGACTGGAATCTGCTTAAGTCTGCCAAGTTTGTGGGGGGAGGGGCAGCATCACCACTGCTGCTGTTGCTTGCTGTCTAAGCCTTATGAGTTCCTTGGGGGAGGGGCAGCAGCCAACATTGCAGCTGCTAGCTACCTAACACACTAAGCTCCCAGTGGGGAAGGGCGGCAGCCATCACTAAAGCTCCAGACCACACTTTTCCCCTGCTGAAGCCAGGGAGGCTGGATGACTGGGTCCCAAGAGGTATTCCCCACAGCCCAGCCACCAGCTATGGCAGACCACGGCCAGACTGCCTCTTTAAGCCAGACACTGACCCATCCCTCCTCACTGGGCGAGGCCTCCCTACACTCCAGTCAGGGGCTCAGGGACAGAACTCTGATCTCCCTGAGGCTGAGCCCCTAGGGAAAGGGGTGGCCATAGTCTCTGTGAACCAGCAGACTTAGTCTTTCCTTCTGCTAGCTCTGAGGAATCCAGGCAGCCCAGAAGAGCAGGTTTCCCTCCAGTGCAGCACATCCCCTCCACCACAGGACAGCGAAAGTGCTTTGTCAAATGGATC